CCAAAGATCATAGGACATTTAAGAGCATATAATTCCTGAAAACTCAAAAATTAGTAAAATTGGAGCTTTCTGATTGGCTTGCCATTGTATTGTAACTGAAAAACTAAAATATTAAATCTGTTTACTTCACATGAGGGATATTTATTTATTAATTTAATATAACATTCTACAGTATGTCCTTACTGGTGGTAGCATCCATCAGAAAAAAAGAAACATGTTCTACTAATTTATTTCAATAATTTGCTTACACTGAATATAGTCCTGTGACCTTCTATTCTTCCTACAAGTGGAACAGATTGTTTTAGTCTAATCCGTTCTTTCCTTTTTTTTTCACTCTTTGTCTCCTCTTCTACCTTGTGACTTAAATAATCCCTGTACCCAAACTTCAGCATTGTAAAGATAAGGTATTATCATTTTCTTTTTTCTAGTGGAAGTGAAATAATTTTTTTTTTTCCTTAGCAGCAATTTCTTTCACTAGGCACTACTTTCTAAGCATACCAAAACAAAGCAAACCAAACCTCTTCAGAACAAAGGTTTAGGTTCTGAAAAGCACACCCATTGGGCCAATACCCAGTTTGTAGACCTCTTCATGCTAGCTTTCATGCTATTGCTGGGCTTCTACCATCAACTATGTGTGCCTCATTAATTTCACAAATGCGTTATTTTACCCAGAAAAATGCAACATAATGGGATAAAGTGAAGTCACTGTGAAGTAAATCTTGTGAGATCTTGTGGATATTCTCAAGACAAGCTTAAAATTTTTTGCCACTTCTTGCTTAGAAACTTTATCCTGTCATTCCTGTCTGATGAAGTTCATGTTGTTCCTTTGCTGTCAAGTGCTAGCTCCAAGGTAAAAAGCATAAACGTGTAACTGTTGCAGAGTTTTTCAAAGATATTATGGAAGAGGAAAGGGAAAAGAAATATGATTGCCCTCACTATAGAAAAATCTGCCACAGAGAAAGCAACAGGCAAGTGACAAATACTGAGTTGTGAAGATAAATCTCAAAAAACTCTATAAAGCTATATCACAGAAGTTGCTAACTCAAATGTACTTTTTTTATTATTCTTCTGTTAAAAAGATCCAAAATGTCTGAATTCCACTGTGCTAAAACCATTAAAAAATTTGCCTTTAAATTTCCTGACAATTGCAGCACATGAATTAGGGATGTATTGGCAACTGGTGGTTCTTTAAGAGCACATGGTTTTGGATTGTTTTCCTAGACTCTTCCAGAGCTTAATTTCTTTAAAAGGTATATGACCGATTGGATACTGTCATCCTAAAATTCTGTAATAAAAGAGATGTAAAGGACTAGAAATCAGTATCAATTACCACCTACCTTAATACAATTTAAAAGTTCATGGAAAGGCAAATAGTTCATAGCTGAATTGAACAACTGAATTGAAAATTCCTACTTGGACCATTAGCAAGAAAAGAAGCAGCAGTTTGTTCCCTTTTTAAATGGCTTTTGCCAGCCATCTAAATTGGCAAGAAAAAGCTGTAGAACCTCATCAGTTCATAGACAAATTAGAGTTCCCAAGCCCAGGTTCAATTTAGCATATTCAGATTTCAGCACATTAACTTCAGTATCAGGATTGCTTAGACGAAAAGTTCGGGTTTAATATAACCCTTCTGGTTTTTGAGGGTACTGATAAAGCTGGCAAATTTTTACCACAGGTGCAATTCAAGTGACTAAAGTTGGAGAGGAATCCGTCTTCAGAAATGAATGATCCTTATAGATTCATCAATTACAGTGTGATATTAAGTCACTTCCAACAGTGCATTTATGTAGTATGCATTTTGGTTGCATGCCAGTATACAACCCCATTCATATTGTGCAAATTTAATGTATTTCACCTTACATGAAATATGAGGTTCTTGGGACCAAACGAAATTAAAACTACCAGTATCACTCTGAGCATCCATAAAACACTAGAGGACACTTGTGCTAACCTCCTGAAGATGAAGAAAAAGAGTGCATACCTGAGGATTGTCTGTTAAAGATAATCTGAAATAAAGTCAACTACATCAGTCAGCACATGGATTTTATAAAATCTGTTCTTAATAGTCAGAATATAATTTCTACATCTCTGCATTAAAATTTTAACTTTTTGCATAATAATATGAGTTCTACCTTGTATAGTACAATGATTAGTAATATAACCAATACAGGAAAAATTGTTTGCTTGCAGACATCATCTTTCAGACTCCATTCAGTTAGCAACATTGTCTTTTAAAAATGGTAGTCATGTCAAGGCATTTTGTATTAGCTTCTACTTCTGCATTTCTGCTATGGCTTTGGTAGATACTGGCTATACTGCTGATCCTGCAATTCAGTCACGTCATGTTTGTGTCTGATATGGACATGCTGGATCATGAGAGAAGAGGGTTTTGAAAAAATCCTTAGAAACAATGAATTGATTATAGGTTCAACAAGGTATTTTGGAGCTAGGGACCCATAATCACAACTATTAGATACATGTGGCAACATAGGACTTGTTATTCACATTTTTGGGGTTTGAACCATCAGTTAATTTCTTTCAGATAGTTTGCGTGTGGAAAAAGTAAAATAATTCAGATTTTCTGACTCAGACTAATATAACACTTTTTTTTTTTTTTTTTGGTCAAAAATATCCAGGCATGTCTTTGGGAGATTTATTCAGAGAAATTCGCTTTGGCCCCCCAAAGAAATAAATGACAGGTTATCAGGATATGTATCTATCTCCTTAAGCATCAAGTATGAACTCACCACCCTAGGGTCCTTTACCAGTCAAAGGAAAGACAGACATGTCCTGAAGGAATTGATTTCATTATAAAATGGACATCAAGAGTAAATAATAAGATTCACTCTGGTTTTTCTGCCTTAAGACATCTAAAGTTACGCAAGAGAAATCCCACCAAAATCTACAGAGCCCAGATTTGATACAAGGGAAAAAGAAGTGCTTTCATTGACAATCTAGCTGTTAGAGTCCTTTTTTCTAATTCTATTTCCTTTTTTTTTTCAAAAGGTAGATAGATATGAGAAACATCATGTAAGTAAATATTTCTGCAAGCTGCATGGTATTTTAATGAAACAAATTATTTTCTGTAACCTCTAGATAGGAATGAAATGATAGTTAATTGAAACTAAAAATTGGTCAATTTATCCAAAGAATTAGAAAAAATCCTTAGCTCTGTTTCTTTGGCTCTGGATGACACAGTAAGGGAGAACGACTGTGAATAAATGCCTCTCTCAGATAGGAAAAATGCTAACATCAACAGTATGTGCATGTCAATAACCATCTTGTAAAGAAAAAAAATACAGGGACCTCTAATCACATCTAATCATTTTTCTCTGTAACAGTTTGGGTTTTTTCCCTCTCTGTGTTCCTAAGGTTTCTTATATTCACTTATCACTTATGCTGTCAAACAACTAATTCTTTCTGGCAACTGACAATTTAAAAGGAAAGTATATTACAGGAAGGAGAGTGTCATTGTTTTCCATAAATTTGTAAGAGCTATGAACAAATAGGACAATTCTAAAAATAGACCCATGGATAATTATCATAAGCCCTAACTCTCATGGTTACTTTACAGGATGTCTTTGGGATAAAGTAAATACAAAGACTGGCATAACAGCTGCTGTGTAATTTAGGCTATTCACCTCTTATAAAAAATTAGCTAATTTCTTTCTGTATTTTATGGAAACCACTGTAGAATTATGAACTGTTGTCAGAAAAAAAATCATGTAATACCATTGCATTGCCAAAATTCAAGTTATGCTAAGTAACCATAATTATAGTCTCATCAGAGCTGAGGTGTTTCAAAACACCTGTAAAATTTAGGTGTCTCTGCCTACTGTTACAAGCAAATAAATCCACAGATTTAAGTAGCAAGAACCATTAGTAAACTGAAGTAAAGATGGTAAGAGAAAAAAAACCCAGAAGCCTCAATTGTCAGGGTGCCTAGTGAGACAAGAAAGGTTCTACATAGCAACAGCATTTTAAGTATGAATAAATAGCCATAAAGTTCGCTGGTACTGCATGGAAGCTTGCAGATGGCAGATGAATTCATGTCTGTCATGTTTTTATAATACAATGACTTTTACATATTGCTGCCAGATGGAACACAGTTTTGCATCTTGATTATAAATCTCAAAAAAATACAGATTCCTTCAATGTGTTCCCTAAATTTGAAATAAAAGCAAATTCAGAGACAGATATGGGAAGCTAAAGCAGATTTAAGGAAATATAAATTAAATCCTCAAGGGCTTCCTTGTTATAACTCAATTCAAAATAATGGAGTTCCCCGTGTGTTCTCAATGTTTTAGGAAAACCACAGAAGGTATCATACAGGTACCTATACAGGGAGAACTACATGCTCATTTTTAAATGTAAATGCATCCCAGTCAGGTCCAGAAGACCTCTCAATTGAACTTAGTATTTGAAAAAATATTTACATAACATTTATTCCTGCTCCAACAATAGTGGTATCTATGCCACAAGCTCAGATGGTAAGAGTGCAGTGCATGAAGCATAAATGCATTTAATCATTGCTGATAACGAGTATCTGTATCTACACCACAGAAGCACCTGGCCTTTCCCATTGTGATAAACGATACCTAGACAGACCTAAAATCTAATTCAGATTTGGTTATACCAGTTTCTGAAGAGATGCACTATGAAGAAAGCACAGAATTTTTGTATTTTATATGTGTTCCTGCATCACACCTGGCCTCCCCCTGTGCTTCTGGTCTTTGCTTCTAATCCTAATTGGTATTGCTACGAAGCGAATAACTCTGATAGCGACAAAGTGAATTATATGACTGCAGGGAAGAATATTTTCCTATTCAATGGTTTCTCACAGAGTCTGATTTGACAACAAACTTGAGTTGACTTCTCTCAGACAGCCTCAAGCATTGTTTATATGCAGATAATTCTGTATGTAAACCCACTAGGCTTTTATGACAGTTATAATCAAATATGATTGGGAAACCTTCTGGCTTACTTGGATCCATACTTACATTGTGCTTTGTGAGGTTGGAAATGTTACTTGCTATTGCTTGTAGCCAGTCAATACAGTCTTCAGCAGAGAGACACTGAATTATTCCACTGCAAACCCCATCCACAGCAATTACTTGGAACGCATTTTGCCTACAGACATATCATAACAGATCAGGTCAGAATAAAATTTTATCTTTTCTAGCATATCATCTTAACAATACTTGTAAAAATGCTTTTCTTTCAACTACAATGAAGGTCAGCCAGTGAACACCGACAAAATGCTGGTTTTCCTGTTTTATAAATACGTATTAAAACAATCATGCTAAAGGTCAACTCAGAAAACATAAAGCTTCCATAAAGCTACAAAAAAAATTCCTTAGACCAGCTCCACAGCATCTTGACCAGCAGGCTGTGCAACCTCAGAAGATGAACAAATGATAGAGCTGATGCTTATCTCAGACTTAATACAGCAGGCTACAGAGAAGGAAAGTGCATTAGAAACCATGGGCAATAATTTACGAAATTCAGTGATTACCAGTATCTTTTTCTCAATACCTTTGTTTTATTTTTATAATATAGTGTCTAAACACATTTGGATTACTGTCTGGAGGGCCCTTGTTGGGTGCTCAAGCTTATAGAATTTTGTTTCTCTTCTAAACTACTGATTGAAAACTTGAAGAAGTCAAAATTGATCAAGTAGCATTAATGATTTTTCCAATTGCATTTCTGAATATAGGATCATTACCAAAATACACTCCTACCTCTGCTTCTACCCCCAGCACCAATCTGGGCACATATACCAAAATCCATCATGCATTATATACTGATTTTCCACTTCCAGACACTGAGCAATTATAGAACAAGAGAAAAATTTTCAGATGCTAAAGCAGTAACAGATCTAATTTCTTCAGTAGATTGCTTTATTTGCTAAAAGCTCTTGTAAGGCTCGCAGGTTTCTGCATTCAAAACCAAAAAACATCAATAAAAATCCATATCCCAGAGGAGGAGATTACAGAACATACAGAGAATACCAAGTTCCACTGCTGACATTCTGCTACAAGCTCAACTGTTAATGATCAATTCATAGTTAAGATTAAGTACATCATTCCGATTCTTTGAGAAAGGCTCAAGCAAAGTGCCTGTTATCTCCAGGGTAAAACTGAGTGTCACTAATGACAGCTTCTGGCATCTGAAGACAGATAGCAGTTTTGAAAAGCTGCTTGTTTGGGATCTTTTAACTCTTAAAATTTTATTCTAGTTGTATACAATGTAAGGCTAATATCTCTTTTCACTCCATCCATGTTGAGAACAGACTGTTTCTTCACTCAAGAGAAGCAATAGAAATGAACTAGAACTATGCCTTTGCTTTGAGTCTTCGAGCATGAGAACCAGCTTTTGCAGGATAATGAGGCTTATATTACCATGGTGTTTCAGGGTTCTTTGGTTTATTTAAATCCAGAAGTTTAGTTGTCTTTCCAAGGTGTAGTGATTTTTCTTTAAATTCACAAAAATACCAACCAAGACAGACTTCTTTCAGGGACTCATTTTCACAGTAATTCTAGTAAAGTTTTGAAGATGATTTATTTAAAGAATCTTCAGGTAGTGTTGCTAGCATTTATTTAATCTATCCTTTATTTTAGATGGCTATAAATAGAAATAACAAATTTTTCCAGAATAAATTTCTAAATCCTTACATGAGGACCATAGCATGGGCTCAAAATTGTTGATGATGTCTTTAAAGAAAAATAACACTAGTTTCAGGACTTGCCTTGTTTCTACACAGCACATCATAAATCAAAGCAGGGATCTAAAATATCTATTAATGAATAATATTAACACAATTACAAAAAGCTCAATATGTTCCAGATTCAATCCTCATGCACATATTTCCCTTGGACTATAAACACAACGAATATAGAGCATTTGGGGCATCAGATTGTTCCTACTGTTCCTAGGAATTTCATCTGTGCAAGTAAAAAATCATTTCTCCATAATGTTATTACCCAAGTATCAACAGCAAATTACTCAAATATCAATAGTATGATATATGGCCACCTAATAAATTACTTGTGAATGTGTCTTGGCAGTAGATAGCCTTAGATTATTGTAACAGTATTTTCTTGAAAAAGTCTACCAGTCCAAGTCCATAATACCATGCAAACTTGAAAACATAATATATTAAATAGATATTTTGTACTAAATGGAACATATAGTAGAATAATCACTTTATAATTCACACAAAAAAAATGAGAATGGATAAACATTTATTCAACTACGTGTTTCAGGTTATAGGCCTTCTGGAACACAAAAGCTATATTTGAAATAATTAAGCTTTGCAAGATTAACCTGAATGTCTTCTAGAACTCCGCATGAATACGCTCCAGAATTTATGTGTTTCAACCACTCAACTGGAAAAGCTAGAACATGAATATAGGGTTTAATATTGTGAGAACAATATGTTTCCATATCAAACTCTGAATTATAAAAAGTTATTAGGTTTTACATGCTGAAAACAGCCTTGTAAATAGTAACTATGGAAAATGTAATACATTAGCTTTCATTTCATGTCGCTTCCTTATATTATTTTTTATATTCTTTCTTTTATGTTGATGTTTCTGGCAGTCTCTTAAAATGTACCTACCCCTTTCTCTCATAACAAATTCTGAGAGGGAGCAACATTTAAAAATGTTTACAGTAATTTAAAATGGTCATATAAACTGTCTTGCTAGTAACATAAAATGTTGGTTGTATGCTTTAAGAAAAACCCTCTCTTATACGCATCCTGCATTTTTGGGTTTTTTTTAAGACACTTCTTCATATTAGACAGAATAGAAGGACTCAGAGCAGTTGTTCAAGGTTTCATTATGAGTTCAGGTATTTTGTTTATATTTTAATATACCTTTGTTTTTTGAATTTCAGATCTCAGGTTTATCATTACTACCTAAACCACTTCCTTTGTTATGTACAAGTTCTATAATATGAATTTTAACCTTGGTTTTTATTGATGCAGAAGACTGAATTTTAAAACCCTAGCTCTATGAACAGCTGCTTATGCGCTAATTTTCCATGCGAGTAATTCAATTCAATACCTTATCTGAAGTACGCAGTAGAATAGATCTCAGATTTTATGTTAAGGTTTTGGGTGCTTTATGTTTCATTGTTAAATATGGAGCTGAAGGCTTTAGTTAGAATTTAGTAAAACACCTTCTGCCTCTCTGGTGACTTGATCCTGCTCCAGTTAAGTCCAGCCAAGAAGCCTTTGTAGCCTTTGGTTTCCACCTTGCCTCCCTGGGCCAGCCACTGCTCCTCAACAGACCGAGGTTCATGCAGCCAAGTAAATATGACCCTGCTATTACTGGTCAAAAGCTGCAGGCTGGCCTTGGCTCCACAATGATCTACAACAGCTACTGCCTAACCTGCATTAATTTCAGCTCTGTGAATAGGAGAAATGGCTGGCAGACCTAGGCAGTGTATTGAAAGAAACAGTGTATAAGAAAGAGCCCTAAGAACCAACTGAGGCAGTGGACAGCTTTTGTGCAACTTTCAAATGTTTACTGAGTACCAGTAAGAAACAGTAAAATTAACTCCACAAAAATTCCAAACAGATTGAAGAAAACCTTTTTCCCCCCAGCTTCTGGGAGTTTCAGAAATACAGTTTTAGGGGGTTCATTAGAAGAAATTATGCAGTAACCTGCTCTGTACTTGTACACAGCTCTCCTACAGATAATGTCTTTACATACTAGAGCTCACAGAAGTATTTCAGTATGAGAACTTCATTCTTATACATACAGATGATAAACAAATCCATACAATAGCTAGATGCTTAAAACCTTTAACAAGTATGATCTTATATACTTGCCTTGTTGGACTTTGTAGCTATTTTCATTTCTATTTCATTGATTTGCAAGAAGTAATCATTACAGAATTTTTTGTCATCACTCCTAATTTCTTCTGATTTATTAGGATAATATTAAATTAAACAATGTCAAGTTTCAGGTCTGTATTGGATCTTTCTGAAACGAATTTTATTTTCCCCATAGCAGCTCTCATAGTGTTGGACTTTGTATAGGTAGGTAGAAAGATATTGATTGCACAGCATTGTTTTGGCTACCCCTAAGCAGTATTGGCACAGCATCAGAGCTGTTGTTCCAACATTCCCTCTTCACCACCAGGCTGGGGAAACAAAACAAAAGATAGCCAGGACAGCTGACCCAACTGATCAAAGGGATACTCTATACCATATGACATCCACTCAGCAATGAAAGCTAGGAGAAAGGAAGGGCAGGAGGGGCATTAATTAGTTATGACACTTGTGCTCAAGAGCAACTACTACATGTACCAAGGCCCTACTTCCCAGGAAGTGACTGAACATCACCTGCTGATGGGAAGTAGAGAACAAATATTTTGGGTTTTTTCTTCCATGTGTGGCTTTTGCTTTATTAAACTGCCTTTATCTTGACTCACCAGAATATTTCAATCTTATTTTCCTTCCCTCCATCCTGTTGAGGAAGGGAGTGATAGAGAAGCTTGGTTGATACTTGGCATCCAGCCATCATCAACCCATCGCAATGACGCAATAAAGTTAAACCTGACTATGAGCTTTGGAAAGCTATCCCAGTGATTGTGACAAGTTTGCAGTGAAATTAAATGTTAACACATGCAAAGTAAAATATGGGAAAAAATAACCTTAGCTATAGGGAAAAAGAACAAAAAAAACCCTCAACTCTGTACTGTAGCCATAAACATAAAGCACAGAAGTACAAAAACTGGGAGATGCTTATCAGCTCAGGCTCTTGCTCATGGTCCTCACCTGAGTATGTTTGCAGCTACTCCTGTGCCTGGACATGCATCCCACTGAACTGGACCTTCAGGCTGACTTCCTGAGCCCCACCTGACCATGATGGACTTCTCTAAAGACTGTCCCTAAGCCTTCTCTGTTCCTCCATGGGGAGCAGTGGGGTAGGATCATTTTCTGCATCGACAATGCCTTGTCCAGCCTCACTGCCACCCTCTCTCTTGGTTTGTTCCTCATGGGGCAGTCAGCCCTTGCTGCTGTCAAACAAGATTATTTCACCCAATGTAGGTATCAGATTATGTATTTAACACAAACAGAAGGAAATAAATTTTAAAAATATAATCACATTGCAAAAATCAAAGACATAAAATCAAGCCACTTAGAAAGAAGCTTTTGAGGACAGGAGCATTAGCAGCTATTAAATATGATGATGTATGTTTCACCTCAAACTGCAAAAGGTGCTGAGCACTAGATGTAAGCAGAAAGATCAGATCACCCATCATCTCCTCCCCATGATACCAGGTCCCAGTTGATATCAGAGGAGAACATGAGCCAAGGTGGACGTAGAAAGACCTTTATGAAAGCTCCTATATTTCATATATCTGTCAGCTGCCATGGAACTAATAACACAATTTCTCCAACAAGGCAACTCCCTAGGGCATGCATCTGTCAACCAAGAAGTCAAGTTTCAGCCTTCAGAAATTCTTTACCTGCACAAATCTGATCCTGGAAGGTACTGGGAAAATCGTGAATGAAGAAGTGGAATTAATCGAAGATCACACCACCTCTTCTCCCACCTAAGTCCTGGGGATGCTGGCCATGAGGAACATGATAACGTATCCTGAAAAACATTAAAAGGTTCTTCTCAGTTTTGAACTTCATTGTAAGAACTTGGAAAGAATGAGATAGACTTAAAAGACTTATATTTAATTTGGCAGTGTTCCATTTTTTCCTAAATCACTTGTCATTAGTTTTAGTGAGCACTGGAAAGACTCTGAATAGGACCTCTAAATTATTCACAATACAACCATAATTCAGTAGTTTCCTGTGGCTCTGTACACATTTACATAAATATCTTTTCTAATGATATAACCTCAAAACATGGTAATTGGGAATGGAATTTACATGTGATGAAAATTGTCAAAATTGTCAAAACTACATGCTGAAGTGATGAATATTTTAATTTTACCTACTTACAGAAGACATTGCTTATATGAAAACTGAACTTTATCATGTTTATGATCATATCTACAAAGAATGAGTATTTAAGTATCTAGAGCCTAATTTGACCAGCCTTCTTAAAGAATATCAATTTGCATGAGAAATGATTATAGAAAGTAAAATTATCAACATCTGTTTCTAAAAATACAACACCTCTTTCTTTATAAAATGCTTTAAAAAATAGTGCTAATGATGATGGTTTTTTTCTGAGAGAGCAGGATTCTTCAAAGTGCCTTCTCACAGCAACAAAGGATGAAGAAAAGGCTGAGGTATTTAATGTCCTCTTTACCACGATCTTTAATAGCATGACCAATTATTTGCCTGGTAGCAAATGTCTGAGCTGGGAGACAGGGATAGGGAGCAGACGGAAGCCATCATAATCCAAGGGGAAATGGCCAGTGATCTGCTGCAGCAGTTAGGCACACACAGGTCAATGTGGCCAGGTGGGATATACTGAAGGATATTGAGGGAGCTGGCACAAGAGCTCAGTGAGTCACCTTCCATCATTTACCAGCAGCCCTGGCTAACGAGCGAGGTCTCAGTTGACAGGATGTCAGCAAATATGATGCCATCTACAAGACAGGCTTAGAAGGAGGATTTGGGGAACTACAGGCCTGTCAGATGGACCTGGGGCAGGTCATGGAGCAGATCATCCTGAGTGCCATCCCACACCATTTACTGGACAACAAGGGAATCAGGCCCAGCCAGCACAGGCTTGTGTAAGACACATCCTGCACCTAATCTCCATTTATGACCAGGTGACCAATCTAGTGGACAAGGGAAAGGCTGTAGATGATGTCAGCCTGGACTTTAGTAAAACCTTTGGCACAGCATTCTCCTAAAGAAACTGGCTGCTCATGACTTCAATGGGTCCACAGTTCACTGGTGTCCTAGGGTGACATTATGATGCTTGTATCCCCAGTTGTCTGTTCTGTTTATGAGGCGGGGAGAAGAAGGAGCACAGAGTTTCGTTATCAGCTGCACTTTCCCCCACAGTCTACTGGAACACAGAACTCCACTGCAGTTGTGTGGGCATGGACGGGGCAGAACATCACAGTCCTTTCGCTTTTTAGTTTAGCTAGCTGGGGCAGTCCGAGTTTTCCCTGGACTGTTTTTCCTTCCCTTTTTCTTGGAACCATTCGAACCTGCTCCAGACCAGGATCTGGGGAAACACTGAGAGTTTGCACTCTGTAGCCTGCCGGGGCCTACTCTAGGCCACAGCCTTTCCCAGTGCCGGAGGGACCGATAACTGAGCAACCACCCACCAGAGAGACTTTCTGAATTTGTCATCTCTTCAGAGCAGTGGATGAGTTTTGTCATCTGGTATTGTTCATTTTCTGTGCTGGGGAGTGCCTTGCCTGTTAAATAAACAGGTTCTTTCCATTTCTCTCCGAGGAAATTTTTCCGAACCGGTTTGTGGGTGGGGCTGTGTGGGCTGGTTTTTTGTGGGGGGCCCTTTTGGAGGTTTTCTCCCAGATTTGCCCTAAACCAGGACAACTGGGTAAAAAAAATGGCTGGATGGAGAGACCCAGAGAGTGGTGGTGACTGGAGACACATCCAGTTGGTGGACAGTCATGACTGGCATTGTCTAGGGTTCAGTGTTGGGGCCGGCACTGTTTAATATTTAATATTGATCTGGAAGAGGGGATGAAGTGTATCGTGAGTTCACAGCTGACATCAAGTGGGACAGGAGTGCTGATCTGCTGAAGGGTAGGAAGGCTCTGCAGGGGGGATCTGGACAGACTGAATCAATGGACTGAGGGCAACTGTATGAGATTCACAAGACAAAGTTCCAGGTCCTGCACTTTTGTCACAACAATCCCCAGGCAGCACTACAGGCTGCGGGCAGAGTGACTAGAAATCTGCATGATGAGAAAGGACCTGGGGGTGCTGGTCAACAGAAAATGAGCCAGTGTGTGCCCACGAGGCCAAGAGGGCCATCGGTATCCTGGCCTGATCAGAAATAGTGCGGCCAGCAGGACCATGGCAGTGACTGTGCCCCTGTATTTGGCACTGGTGAGGCCACACCTTGAATGCCATGTTCAGTTCTGTGCCCCTTACTCCAACAAGGACACAGAGGTGCTGCAGCATGTCCAGAAAAGGGCAACGTGGTTGGAAAAGGGTTTGGAGCATAAGCCATGTGAGGAGCTGCTGGAGGAACTGAGGTTGTTTAGCCTGGAGAAAGGAAGGCTCAGGGAGACCTTATCACTCTCAACAACCACCTGAAATGAAGCTGTAGCCAGCTGGGGGTTGGCCACTTCTCCCAAGTAACAAGTGACAGTATATCAACATATCAGTAAAATTAAACCTGCTGATTTACATTCTTTTTAATCTCAAATTTCTTTTTTTTTTACTGCTATCTTCTATAATATAAATATTACCAAAATTAGGTGCACCTTATATTTTTCTAGAGTGTGCATTCTGTGTAAGATCTATGGAATTATAAAGCTTTACCAATTTGAACTTTGCTTTTGCATATATGTTCGTATATCTTTTATGTATATGAAATAAAATATCATAATAAATATCATGTTAGCTGAGCAGCAAGCTTTTCATAGGTAGTTCACTTATTTAAAACACTAAATTTCTGGTGAGAAATTCCACAGATTCAATAAAAATAAATAAATTATTATCTAGGAAGACTACACTAGGATGTTGTTTTGAACATCTTGAATTTTTAATGCTTTCTCTCTGCTTCTGGGAACCTTTCTTCACCTGTGATTAAACTTAAGGAAAAGATGAAATGCAATAAAAGTTCAGGTACAAACTGTAGGCCTAGATATGGCTACAACAAAAATGTTAACTCTGCCTTTAGACTGCATAATTCTGTAAACTGCTGACAAAAGACCAAAGTCTTGTCTACTCCAAGTTTTGAATCAAAAGCCTCCTTCAAAGTAATTAAAAAGACTATAAATTAAGAAACAAAACTGTGGCTGTATGCCACAGAATCATGGAACGTCTGAGTTGGACAGGACCCACAAGGATCATCAAGTCCAACTCTTGTCCCTGTACAGGATATCTCCAAGAATCTCACAATGTTCCTGAGAGTTTTTTCAAACTCTTCTTGCACTCTGTGAGGCTGATGCTGTAACCACCTCCCTGGGGAGCCTGTTCCAGTGTTCCATCCTCTAAGCAAAGAACCTTTTTCTAATATCCAAAATAAACCTCGCAGACACACCATTCCCTTGGGTCCTATCACTGGTCACACAGAGAAAAGATCAGTGTCTGCCTCTCTTCTTCCTCTCACAAGGAAGTTGTAACTGCAATGAGGTCTCCCCTCAGTCCCCTCTTCTTGAGGCTGAACAGACCAAGTGACCTCTTCTCATACAGCTTCTCCTCCAGATCCTTCACCACCTTCTTTGACCTCCTTTGGAGCTCTCTAACAGCTTTGTACCTGTTTTATACTATGGTGCCCAACACTGCTCCCAGCACTCGAGGTGAAGCAGTCACAGAGCAGAGCAGGACAATCCCCTCCCTTGCCTGGCTGGCCATGCTGTGCGTGATGCAACCCAGGGCAGGGCTGGCCCTCCTGGCTGCCAGTGCACTGCTGACTCACATTCAACTTTCCACCAACCAGGACCCCCAGATCCCTTTCTGTGACTCTGCTTACCAGCTTCTCCTTCCCCAGCCTGTCTGTACATCCAGAGGCTGCCCCTCCACGGGGCAGAATCCAGCTCTTGCCCTTGTTAAAATTCATAAGGTTGGTGGCTGCTCAGCCCACAGATTTGTTGAGGTCTCTCTGTAAAGCCTCTCTGCTTTTGAGGGAATCAAAAGTTCCTCCAAATTTTCCTCCTCCTCTGCAAACTTACTTAGTTTCCCTTTGAGTCCTGAACCCAAGACATTGATCAAAATGCTGATGGCCACTGGGTCTAAGATACAGCAGAACCCCACTAGTGAGCAGTCACCTAAATTCACTCTGTTTACTATAACTCTTCGTGTCCAACCATGAGCCAGTTGCTCACCAATCATGTTTATCCAGGTGTCATAATTCCTTCTAGAAAATATTCTGACAAAAATTAAGAGCTGTGACATAAGAGTTGTACATAACTTAGGAATTCATTCAGAGGTTTGGTTTTATGAAGCTCTCTGTTCCCATCACAAGGGGACATGTCAGAACCACATCTTGGTCTTCACTTGAAGATTTAATTTAGGGTGAATTATAGGCTCGTGATACCAGATTATATTATTTAAACTGAAATAAAAACACTTGGCTTCAGTAAATTATTGTCAGTTCAAACAGAAACTACAGCTCATTTAGATCAGTTTTGACATCTGCAAAAAAAGAATTCACAAATGAAAGCATGTTTTTTATCATAAAAGCAAAATTAGAATTGTAGCAGCTAGTTGAATAAATCAGCTTAGGATCTACTGCCATAGCTTTTTTACATATAGACATACATACCTATATAGATTCCTTAGATATGTCTGCTTTTGTTGTTGCTGCATCACTTACATGTATTTTTATTGTTATTTGATATCAATTTTATTGATGTTATCTATTCATAAATTCCACTTCCTAAAATGTTCATAATTCTCAAGAGTTTTCCAGATTGTAATTCTGTTTAAATCTATGGTATTGATATTTAAATCTGTGGGCTGCTAATTAAAACATTTTATAGAAAATATGAAAGTATAATAAAACAAGATGGAAACTAAATGGCTTCTCAGTATGGCTTACGTTTCAGGTTTTAGTTTTTTTTTTTAATTATGATTTATACTGGTTTATAATTCTATTTTCATCTATCACAAAGCCAAATACTGAACGAAAAAGCTTTAGATCTGTATAAAACAAAGGAAATTTTGCATTTTGTGGCTAAGAAAACTTTTTAAAGGCCCTTGTTGCACTTCAAAAGTGTCTTTCATTAAATATCTGATCAGACATCTGTAGCATTTTATCCCAGAGGCACTCTGCTCCACAATGTTATCCCAGTTTGGGAAAGATTTCAAGTACACATTACTAGAAGTAGAACACTCTCACCTTAAAAATAGGCAAAAACATGCACCTGATCATCTTTTGACAAAAGCTTTAGATAATGCATGCAATATAAGTAATGGAAAAAATTCTCAAAAACCTTTCTCCCTTTTTTATAAATAAATATATTTGCATTTTAAGAATTTTAATTTCTATGCAGAGCAAAAAATGTAGAAGGAAAAACTTTTGCAAAATCCCTACTGCCCAAGTAAACAGTAATCATATGCATCAAGGCACAATCTCAGCTGTAATCATTTGCCACATTTAATTCCCAGACATAATTTCTGGCTGCTCTTGTTTCCCTCTACAGAACTGTCTCCAGAGTTAGCCAGAGCTCCTCCCTGTTGATGTCCTTTATTAGTACTTCCACTTAGCTATTATACTATAATTACTCTTCTGTGTAATTCCATCAAGGAGATACAAGCTCTTACCGTGTTGTTAGGGTGGTAGTTGAGATGCAAACCACTGTCACACAGGGGAGAGGATGTGCCACTGCTTTGGTCACTGGGGGCACCTAATACAAATACAAATTCACAAGAAAATTATTTGTTAATCTATAATTAAAATTTGTGTATGTATGTATGCATTCTCCATAAAACCAAAAAACTTCTATCATATATAACATTCATTTACTTTCTCTATTCAGCCAGTATCAGTTTTCTGGCTTGAGGGGATTGCCTTTGTAAGCTAAATGGAGGCTCAAGAAAACCTATCCCAATGCTTTGATTAAAAAAAAGTTATTGTCTGCTTGGTAAGAAAAACATCCCACATTGCTTCTTTCAAATTTGACAATAAAAGGGAAGTGTGTACCTTGTCTGTCAGTTTTTACTGGAAGGAATTTGTCAGATAACCCTTTTGTTACTCTCAGTGGAGTTTACAGTTCTAAATGTTCTTGTAATGGTTTAGGAAATTACAGTGCTACGCCTCAAAAGTGACAAGATAGGACCCATGCAAATGCACATTCCTGTGCATCACTCAGGCTACTCAGTGGTACCACAGCCTTTCATAAAAGGGAAAAAGTACTGGGATACATTTTTTTTTATTTAAGAATACAGTGTTCTGATTTTTTTTCTTGTTTCATATGAATTTAATACATAGGCAAAATAAAAAGACAAGGTTCCATCAAATGTTTGTATAAAATGCTATTTCATTATTTAGATTATTTAATTCCTACAAACTTAAAGGCTATAGGTATTGAAATCCAATATTTATTGTTTTGTTGCTTTAAGCTGAGCAATTTAATTTACTCTCTTAGGGAGTAAAAAGCAGAAGGAAAGCAGAGGTGGCAAAAGGCACAGGCTGATATATAAATATGGTTAGATATGCTGCAATTGCCTATAATTATGCATCCACACTTACAATTTAATATAATTAAAGGAAGACAGCTGTCTCCATATGACTCTCATGGGGTTAGTTCACTAAAACTCAGTTTGGACTAAAACAAAATACTTATCATTCCAGAGTAATTTATTCTTAGGTAGACAGACATCTCCACCAAAGCCTCTGAATTTTAAACAGCAAAGTCCTCTAAATATATACACACAATCTCATTTTCACATTTACAAGAAAAAACTCCCTGGGACTAAAATACTAGCTGATGCTGCCCGAAAAATTGATTTTAAATACGCTGCACCAGGACGTGAGCTATTGCAAACTAATGTAATTCTACTGTTTCACCTGCAACTTTACTGATTCACACCAGTCTGTTTATCTGTTTTTTCTACCACAGATAGCAATTTTTCTCTTGAGAAAGAGAAAAATTTTTCCTATTGCCACTAACCCTGGCAATAGGATCAACTCATATTTAGACACCAATGCTGATTGTAAAAGCAGCTGCCAATCACCCTCACAGTAGTTCAGAAGCTGCAAGTGTTCATGGGTCTGAATTGAGGGTTCTTTGGTCATGTAATAAAGTCTTACATGCACAATCTTCATTCAGTGGCAGTTTGAGAAAAGCAGGTGCTCTTTTCAGAAAGGACACAGTTAGGGTCACTTCTTCCCCTGCATTGCGAAGGACCTGTACCTGGAAAAGAAATAAAGGCAGACACCTTGAAATTAACTTATTATCAAAATGCATTAGCAAATGTAAGCAACACCACACAGCTTTCCCATACCAGAATGTAACTGCTTAGCAGTTTATTGCAATTACATTTCTTTGAGAATAAAGCAAGATGTAAAGCTTGCTATGCACTTGTCTATTGTGTTTCTAGCCACACATACAGTTAATGAGGTGAGGGGAGCATTACCCTTCTGTATTAGTACTGGCTTTGACCTGTGCTGTTGCAGACTTTCTCCTTGAAAATATTCAGCTATGTAACTCCTTCTTTAAGATCAAGAATCATCCCCCCTAGCATGTATTTATTTTAAAAAATACATACATATTTTCTCTTTGCACATATATTTTCGCTTGTCTTATAAATCCTCAACCAAAACGACAGCAGTAGTTTCCACAGCTGCACCATAATCCTATGAGCAAGTCTTTCCAACACTCAGAGTTAAATTTAGCTGAGGCACTCCGGCATGGATGAGAGACCTAATCTTCATCACAGACACAGAGGAAAAGAACCTATTTTAAGCTTTAAATCTTAGATAAGCACAAGCTTAGGTTTTGCCAAAGGGCATCTTGCATTTTGGACATAGAATGTGCAAAGAACCTATCCAGCTGGGAATACATTTAGCCTTCCTGTACTCTCCCAGTAGTTACCCTTTTGGCTTCTGTTCATCTTTAGCTTTTGTGGGATATAGCTGTAGACACCCCAAACATACAGCAGAGTGAGGGACTCCAGCCACCTCCCAAAAGTAGCAGAAAGGAGGCACAAAAGCAACTAAGCCAAATGCTGTATTAAATGGATGAGGAGGAACATCTGAATTGGTTTATGAGAGCCAAGAACAACCAGATCTGCTTCAGAGAACAACCATTTCCTGTTCTGGCTCTATAACTTCAAAATCCTTCAAGGGTTGATTTAATTTGGGTGTACAATGACAGAATGTCATGTCTCTCTGAGTGACTGTGCTCATACTGTGAAGAGCCAGATCACAGGCAGCTGAGAGCTGCTGTGAGAGAGAGCTGCACACAGTGAGACATTAGGCAATCATTTTAAACTAGAACATATTTCCTCCCTTTCTCTTGTGTAGCTGGATAACACATAGGCAACTCTTCTGTCATGCTGCTGCTTGTGGGAAAGCCTTGTAAATAATTCATGAAGCACTGTTATTCTTTAATTATGCTTGTCAATAACCCACTCAACAGAGTTATTTACATGCATATGTATAACTATACATTGGGATGCTTTCACATGCAATCACTGCATTATGCTGTAAACTTAAAGTAATTCAGGAAAAAATGTCAACTTTGCCTTCAAACACAATATTGCCTACTCCAGGCTGGTTGCCACAGAGGATTGAAATATGATGACAGAATATTTGATTCAATAACTGAAATTTTAGGGTCTTTATTGTTTAGAATATCACAGTAGCAGGCAATGCACATTTTGCAGTTTAGTATGTATTTATAAGTATGCGTGCAAATAAACACAGAAACATCACAACAGATTTAATAACTTATACTGCATCCAAAAACTTCACCTGTAACAGAATAAACGAATAACTTAGGCTAAAACATGAGTCTCTTTGATGAGCTGCTCCCAGTTCTGGTGCATTTTGTAACTTAAAATTTATAAGCAGCAATTATTTCTTAGAAAGACGACTTGTAATGTGCAGAAAAGTAGACCAAGGCTCTGAAGTCCTGAATTCAATGAGAGATAGCATCCTATATCCTCAGCCTCCATAGAAAATTCATTCTTTTCCTCTCTTATGTAGCAGTCACACAGTTTAGAGTAGTCAGAACCAAAGCAGAAGCTTACAGGTATGTACTCTGTATTGTTTCAACAGATGTGGACAGATAAGGTACAGGAAAATACAGCTACTCTCTCTGCTGTTAAAAAAAGGTATTTCTTTTTACTCAGAAACAGAAAATAAAAAAGTGAAGACGTTACAGCATTACTAACTTTTATATATTAAAGTCACCTTTTAAGATAAGTGGATATCATCTGTGAAAGAAGCTGAGACAATAACAGCCCTAAATCATTCTTCCAAGAGTCTACATGATTTCACTGGATAATATATTGCTTTATAAAGCCATAAGTAGCCTACTGTGACTTTTTTCTCTTACCTCTCTCTCCCTCAAACCTCCTTATCTCATAGGATTAAAACTTTAAGCTGGAACACATTTCAGTTGAAATCAGCAATACTTATTCAGTGAAACGTATTTTGGAGTGTATGAAGCATATAATCCAGAAAGTTACTAGATTTTGACATGCTGAATAAAGACTAAAGAGAGATAAAAGATTAAAAGAGAAAACTACTAGGTAATGATTCAACAAAGAGCAGATGAGTTATCGATTCCAATTGCTTACTTTCTAGTCATTAACAATACCATTCTGGGAAATAAGGTTAGGTGAAGACAATGAGCATTTTAATTACTTTTTTGTATTTTTCTAGCTTTCATTTGAAAGCTTTACTGTTATTTTACATTCTTTGCCTTTAATTTACATATGAAATGAAAAATCAAATTACTAAAGATAATGCTAGCCCCAAATAACAGTCTGTATCAGTACTGAATTTAAATTAGGGCCTCATTCCCACTGTGTATAAATGGTCAACAAAATTGAATATTACTGAAACATAGCTATATAAGTAAAGAGATTTTCAGTTCATTACCGCTAATAAAGAAGCCATGTCTAAACTTGCATAAAATAAAAATATTTAAAACATTTTGCCATCCTGGTTGATGGCAAGTGGAATATGAGTCAACAGTGCCCCGGCAGCCAGGAGGGCCAACCACATCTCCTGGGCAAAACATCTCCACCTGGCAAGGGAGGGGATTTTCTTGCTTTGCTTTGCTCTGTACTGGGGCAGCCTCACCTTCAGTGCTGGGGGCAGTGTAGGGCACCACAATATAAAAAAAGACATCAAGCTATTAGAGAGTGTCTGAGAGCTATGAGGATGGTAAAGGGTCTGAAGTTGAAACCATATGAGGTAATTTTTGGTATCTTCAGCCTGACAGTGGGGAGACTGAGGGGAGAACTCACTTTGGTCTTCAACACAAAATTCCCAGTGCTAAATGCAGGGAATATTTTTATGACAAAAATTTAACTTAGCAGTAGACCTAAAATTTCCAATTTCCCACTACATCATATATACCCATTGTAGGGCATGGATAAACTCCCTTCAGAAGAGATCTGGCAATTTCTAAAACAATGTGTCCTAAATTGCAGAAAATGCATGACCAGACACCATTAAAAAGAATTGCTTATTGTTTGGATCATTGAAAGGCAATGATCTATTTTACTTTCAGAGGCTATATAGACTATTCAGTTAGTCTATTCAAGACTAGTCAGGATAGACTTTTTTGTTAATATTTTTGAGATATTCTATGAATCCTTAGATTTTAGGCATATGAATTTACCTAACTATGTCAAGTTTTAACTTTTCTAGTTAAAAATTAATAATAGTAACATTTAATATGTTGATATAGAAGTTTCATATCAAATGATGAAAAGACATTTAGCACTGCTGTTACTAGTTTATTTACCTTTATGTTTTTATTTCAGCTAGTGAAAAATACCAGCTATTCATTTGTTGGTGCACAGCATCTAACAAAATCACTCCTGTAACAGGAAAAAGCCATGACACAGAAAAATCTTAACATCTCACCAACATTATGGCTATATATATTAAATTCCTGCTGCTGTTTCAAAAATCATATATATTTTTAATTCAGAATGAGTACATATGGAAAGAACCGTACAAACAGAAGCATTAAATATTGTCAATAAACTCTGTTATAAAAAGTATAACCTTACTACCAGTGGGACCAAGAATTAATTTACTTCTACAACAAATAGCCCTATATAAAGTTAGGACGTTCATGAATGAAATGAGAGAGGTAAAAAACCCAGTTGTGCATGTCTGAGCCAGTAGCTAGTGAAATAGTGACAAGAGAGTCAGAGTTTCTGGAGCGACAGTGACTATATCTTTATGCAATTGCTGCAATGACTGTAAGGGAGCTATTTGAAAAAGTAAATTTTCTGGTGATGTGTGATATTGCTGAAGAAAATATCTACATAGTAACAACACTAATCCGAATTTTTAATAATGTCTACAATGATACTGCCTTTTACATTTATAAACCCTTTTAAATTCCCAGTTCAAGTAAACATTTGAGCATATGCTGAAGTCTCTCTCAATATATTCAGGAAAGCAATGAAGGATGAAGTCCCTTCTGTACGTATTCTTTCATGAATAAGACTGCAAATCCCCTCTCAAATTACCAGTGAAATTCACCCACCAATAAAGTGGTAAGGATTTAAAACAGAATACTTATTTAGATCCCAAGATCTATATTCTCTTGAATTGAAGCAAATTTCATTTTTCAGTTTTTTAAGAAAAATTCAATTTTTTGGTGATTACCTTGAACTACACAGATTGGGAAAACAGAAAAAAAAAGAAAAGTTAGAAGACACCTTTCTAGCCACTCTACAGTTGCACAATGCCCAAGCATCAGGTCCATCAGCAGATAACAAAACACACATTTTAACACAATCACACAGAGGTCAAAACCTACCAGGCTTCATGCACACAACTGTCTTGAATTTGTGTTTATTTTAAAAATCTACTTCTTTATTTAGTAAAAGCATCATGCAGTTAATACAGAACTCTTAGGAACACATCAGTGCATAGTGAGTTTTTAATTCCTATGACCAAATATTTATCACAGTATTTGCCAATAATTGAAGTTAATAAAGAAACATATTATCAAGAGATATCAAAGCTGCTTCCCTTCAGAAAATTTCTCTTTCCGATATACAGAGCGAACTGTGTATGGTGTATATGGCTGTATATAGAAAACAATTTTATGACAGAAGTTCCTATTCAGACTGCACAACTAAAAGTACACTTCAGGCTATAGTTTGACACTATCACAATTGTACATTTTAAAGTTTTTGCTGTCTGGCTCCAAAA